CCTCTCCTCCCTCTCCTCCCCTCCCCTTGCCTCTCTCCACCTCATTTGCACCACCTCATTTTCATCCCCTCATCATCTCCTCACCCTGCCGTATAATCTCCTCTATCTACCCCTTCTGTCAATCCCCTCTACCCCCTCCTGTCACTCCCTTCTATCCTAACAGCGCCTACTATCTGTCCCTCCCTTCTTCCTTTCTTTTGTTACTATACTTTCTCTAATTCCTTTTCCTTTGTTCCCGCTCCCATTGCAAGGAACAGCTCTAGCTGACTTGCCCGGTACCCTGCAGATGAACAGGATAGTTAACACCACTGTGCGCAAGGTTTTTCACCCCCCTGCGCCAAGGCGCAGTGGGGTTTTCCTAGCTAGACATATGGTAGCAGAACCGCATATCCATTGGATGAAGGCGGAGTATAATAAATAATAATAATAATAATAAATGAGCAAGAACAAGAATAATTAAGAATAGAAATCAATATAAAAACAGAGGAAAAGAATTCAATGATAGATCACTAATTGATGACTAGTTAGTGAGATGATAATTATTAAATACACATTCAGAGAGGGGCTGATATAGTCATTGTACATAATATTACAGAAAAGTTACCTTTTTTATATGATCAAAGAAGGTAGCTCACCGTACGGAATATGTATAAGTTATTTGAAGGCTTTGACTGAACATCATAGAAACACGTGTTTGAACACAGGCAAGTCCACCTTCATATAACCACTAGTTATATTCCTCCACCATTATCATCCACTATGGGCCGAGGCAGAGAATTAAGCTTTCAGATACGTTCTCATATATATAAGCTTTAAAGTCAAGAAGATAGCTATCCACACATTTATCAAATCCAATCTGAAATTCCACTGAGCACTCTCAAGATCACTGTATGCAGAGTCATTGAATATGTTAATGAAGTGTTCAAATCTCAATCTGAAGCTTCTAGAAAACTATCTGAATCTGAGTGAGATCATCTTTATAATGTGACTGTTCACATCAATTCTCATATTTTAACTAAGAATCTTTATACTGAAATGAATGACAAGATTAGAACAAGATTTATACAGCTTTTTATGAATGAAATGAGAAGATGAAAGTGGCTCCAACACTGTATTTAAGAAGACACATACAACTCAACACTTTTATTGAATAGGCATTTATAAAAATTACATATTTACAGATTGATGAGAAGTTAAATGACCTGATGAGTGTACAATTGAAAGAGAAAAAGAAATTGCTGTTAAATAAACCTCCTTACAACCCCCAGAACAATTGATTTAAAGAGATATTAAAGAAATAAAATGTGAGAAAGCTGTAATAGGCGCAACGGAGATATCTATATTAGGAAATAGATACGTGGCGATAGATACGTGGCGATAGATACGTGGCGATGGCAATATTATCTATATAATGCTCGCTGATATCCGTGGATTTTAGGAGATCAGCGATTAGCTTTGAACAATAGAGATTGCTACCTTTCTAATATCCTTTGTGCGTACTTCACACTACTCTTGTAATTACTCTTGTAGCCCATCTCTTACAATTCTAATCGCTCTAAACCTTATTTGAGTGGTCCGTTGTTACGCACACCTACAACAAAACACGCAACTTAAAACACGCAAGATGGTTTCAACACGCGCAAGATCCCTTGGGAACCAACCCGAATCCTCTACCACCTCCGACGACCACAATGCCCGATTGCAACAGTTAAACGATCAAATCCGTGAACGAGAGCAACAGTTAGCTATTCTGCACGCGCAACAACGCCTCAACGAGTTGGAAGCACAGATTCGCGAAGATACTTTTATCGAGTCCCGACCAACCCCGGATATCGCCGCAGAACCACCGCAAAATCGACCCGCAGACAATATGGATGATGATAACGAAACACCGCCGAGATTGGAGATTAAGGATTACTATCGAGGAAAGAATATGTTAGAATTTAAGGACTATAAAGATCGCATGTTGACTCTCTTTGCACGCCACCGTCGATATTATCGAAAAGAAGAACGCAAGATAAACGACGCCAAACTCTACCTTGATGCCCACGTTAAGCAGAAGTGGTTGAATTTTGTATCAGCATACGAGAGACGCGGAGGAGCAGCACCGTTAACATTCGACGATATGCTATCACACCTAGAGATGCAAATTAACGACCCGCACAACCAGCGTCGATTGGCGAGCCAAAGATTCCAGGATGCTAAGCAACAGGAGTGGCAATCGATACGCGACTTTTCTAAATATCTCGAAGATTGGGAGTATTACTTACCCCCATACAGCGAGGAACAGAGAATGGATAACCTGCGTAGTAAGGCATTGAAGGTGCTACGCACCGAACTCGACCGTCGAAATCAAGAACCCCAGAACTACGAAGAGTTGCTTCGAACTCTATAGACTCTCGAGGAAAATATGCCGGAGCGACGACGCGCCATTCGCAAAGGCAGACCTGCGATATTCGTAGGGAATCAGCGTCGTTCTGATAAATCTAGCAACCGCCGGAATAAAAGGAAACGGAGAGGAAACAGAACGGAGTTTAACTGAACAAACCAAGAAGGGATAAAATATAATTGGATGAAGGAGTGCTCACCACTGCCCATAAGAAAGGGGCCATATCGCAAACGGATTGTTGGATGTTATACCCCGAAAAGCGCAACCCAAGTCCCGACAAGCAAAAAACTTAGCAATCCCCAATCGTAGGAGCAGCTGCTGCATTGGGAATACAGACGACTAGGCTGCGAGATAAACACTTATTGGCAATGAACACCTGGATGTTGACAGAAGTGGGATGGTCAATGGCGTGGACGTTAGTAGATTCTGGCGCGGATGCAAACTTCGTGTCCCATGCTTGGGCATCGAAATATTTCTCGAAGTCAGAAGGTAAACCGAAAGTAGTGGAAGCAGTTGATAATCATAGGGTTAAATCATATGGACAACGAAAAGCTGCAATGAAGATTATCGATGATGAACATGTCCTTCGGGAAGGATTCCACCATTTCGAAGAAGCCGACATCAGCGGATACGATGTAATTCTGGGTATGCCATGGTTGCAAGCTGCGAACCCCGACATTGACTGGGTGCGAAGATGCTGGACCTATAGGAAAGCGTCAAATATCAGCCACGTGCACCTAGATACCGCTAAGGAATTTGCAACTTTAATGGACAACAGCAACATTATATTCGCCGCCTTTCCATTGCGAGCTGCGCACGCAGCGACTGAGCCAAATATCCCGGATGATTATAAGGATTATCTTGATGTATTCCGAGAAGATATACCTGACGCGGAGCACGCACCCCACGATCATGCCATAGATCTCAAACCTGGCAAGGAACCACCGTACCGACCGATAAATAACCTGTCACCTCAAGAACTCTCTGTCCTCCGAGAATATATCGAAAAGGCATTAGAGAAGAATTGGATACGCCCGTCCAAGAGCCCAGCCGGTGCGCCAGTATTATTCGCACCGAAGAAAGACGGAACCCTGCGTCTTTGCGTAGATTATCGAGGGTTGAACGAAATAACAGTCAAGAATCGGTATCCGCTGCCCCTGATAAGTGAAATACTCGATAGGTTAGCAGGTGCCAAAATATACACGCAATTGGATCTTAGGGACGCGTATCATAGAATTCGCATACGAGCGGGGGATGAGTGGAAAACGGCATTTCGAACACGATACGGACACTTTGAGTATCTGGTTTTACCCTTTGGGCTAACCAACGCCCCTGCGACTTTCCAATCTTATATCAACAAAGCCCTACAGTGATATTTTGGACGTATATTGCGTAGCTTATCTTGACGATATCGTAATCTATTCGAATACGCTTGACGAACACGTCGCCCATGTTAAGAATGTGCTGGAACGTTTAAGGCGATGGAGACTATATGTGAAACTTAGTAAGTGTACGTTCCATGCAACAGAAATTGGATTTCTGGGTTTTGTGATTACCACGCAGGGCATCACTGTCGAAAAACGCCGCGTCGATACGATCCTAGATTGGCCTGAACCGCGAACAATAAACGAGCTGCAAACATTCCTAGGATTCGCCAACTTCTACCGACGATTCATATACAAGTTCTCGATAATAACGGCACCCCTGACTGAGTTGCTAAAAGGATACGAAACAAAAAAGGGGAAGAACAACGCACCTGTCCAACTGAACGAGAACTGCAAGCACGCAATACTGCAGTTAAAAGAATGCTTTTACAGAAGCACCGTTGTTAGTTCATTTTGATCCGCAGCGAAAACTCCGTATAGAAACGGACGGATCTGGCGTTGCAATCGCCGCAGTAATATCGCAATTAATGGATGATGGTCACTGGCACCCGATCTCGTTTTGGTCCAGAAAACTCACAGAAGCAGAAAGACGTTATCAAACATATGATTTAGAAATGTTGCCGATTGTAGAAGCTTTCAGGCAATGGCGCCACTACCTACATGGTAGCAGGCACCCAATAGTTGTTTTATCTGACCATGCCAACCTCCGGCGCTTCATGACGACGAAGCAGCTAAATGGGCGTCAGATTCGTTTGATGCAAATGCTCTCAGCGTTCGATTTTGAAATTGAGCACCATCTTGGGGAAAATAATCCCGCAGATGCACCCAAGTCGTCGTTCAGATTATATAAAACACGCAGCTCCCTTGACGGGGGCTCCCCTACCCTGCAAGAGAAGCTGCGTAAGGGGATCTTTAAGTCACTAAAGACAAAAGAAAACACAAAGTTAGACCAATGTGTCCAAGATGGTGCGAAAAAATCTGCAAGTTAAAGAAAATTGTTGGGCGAAGGGGCCCGTAGTCATCGATGACAACAAACCCTGCAGGATAAAGAACGCACCTGCAGATGAGAACGAAGTCGCCGGCGTTACGGGGTTAGACCTAGGGACCCTGGTGCCACGGATTCTAGCCGTTAAGGTATTTGAGTCCGAGACAGCCTATCGCGAAGAGGTAGCTGAATCTATTGTCGAACTCTTGCTGCAGGTTCAGAATAGGGACGCTGGCACGTCTGAACTTCGCAGAAGACTAGAGGTGGGTGACGCTAGCGTAGGTGATCGTTCGACCTGGGCAGTAGACAAAGATGGCCTGCTCAGGAAAGATGGTAAAGTCTACGTACCGCAAGACAAGGCCGTAAGGCATGAAATAATGAAAATGAACCACGATGATCCCCAAGGTGGCCATTTTGGACGTGACAAAACCATCGAAGCGATCAAACGCAAGTACTCGTGGCATGGTATGAGCGATGAGATTGCAGAATATGTGAGGACCTGCGATGTTTGCCAACGCGTCAAGATACCGCGGCATAAGCCGTACGGGTTGCTACAACCACATCCAGTGCCAGATAAGAAATGGCATACAATCAGTATGGACTTTATTGAAGGCCTACCAGATAATAAGAAGGGAAGTCAAACTTACAATGCTATTGTCATATTTGTTGATTTGTTCACTAAATGGGCCATAATTGTACCCACATCTTCAAAGCTAGATGCGGAAAGACTCGCGGACATTATTGTATGGAAGCTTGCGAAGAACTTTGGCCTACCTGCGAACATTATTAGCGACCGAGATTCATTAATAAACAGCAAGTTCGGGTCAACATTATGTTACTTACTCCATGTCCGACGAAAATTATCAACAGCCTTCCATCCGCAAACCGACGGCCAAACGGAACGATTGAACCAGGTGATTGAACATTATCTTCGCACATATTGCAGCTACCAGCAGGATAACTGGATAGAGTGGATTCCCCTGGCGCAATGGGCATATAATAACGCCTTCCACGCATCGATAAAAATGACACCATCTGAAGCGATGATCGGCCGACCAACTGAACTTCGTATAGACGTGGAACCCCCAAGCACGGGCGCGTCAAAGTCGGCGATAGAACAAGTGGAACGGATGAAGCAAGCAGAAAACAGGATTCGAGAATGCCTAGAAGCTGCCAAAGCAGCTGAGAAAAAGTATTATGATCAGCGCCATATACCAAAAAGCTTTAAGATAGGGGACTGGGTAATGCTGCGTGCAAAAAATATATCCACCTTGCGACCTTCACCCAAACTAGATCATCGATTTTTGGGTCCCTTCCAAATAATTGATATACGCGGTACGCAGGCGTACAAACTGAAGCTTACGCCACAATATAAAGGAATTCATCCCGTGTTCCACGTTTCCCTTCTCGAACCGTATCACGCGCGCGACGGACAGATCCCACAGGCAGAACCGATAATTATAGACGCGCAGGAGGAATGGGAAGTTGAAGCTATATTGGATAAACGTCAGTACCGTGGTCAAACGCAATATCTTGTTAAATGGAAGGATTGCACAGACACGGATAATTCTTGGGAACCTGAAGAAAATTTGGTGAACAGCCAGGAGCACTTGGAACAGTTTAATAAAACCTATCAGGAGCCAGTTAGCAAACGAAAACGAAGAAGGCGACGTTGACTGTTAAACATACTTATTCCACCCAGGGATTAAAAAACAGATCCGCCTCAGCTTGGCCAGTGTCATTTGAGGAATGGTCACCAACGCAGACCTGCTTATTACCCCGGATTTCCTCAACTGGCGAAGCACGACGTTTCAACGATGACTTGGGAGCTGCGACCGGCGATGTAGCTAGCCACCGGGATCTCACCAATCACTGTTTCAGCCGGGGCCTCAGGGGAACCATTTCGTTGAGCCCCACGGATCTTCGCTGCGAAGAACTTAACTGCAGCTGTCACAGCGCCCTGTAAAACGTTAACGTTCGAAGCGTCTGCACCAGCGACAATTAAATCCTCAGCTGCATTGATAGCTGCCTGGGCCAACTCAACGGCGTCTGCTGGCACCAAACACGAGTTATTTATATCCTGCAAAACATATATAGAACGATTACTTACCGGAACGCAAACGTGCTTCATCACCGAGCAGTGCTTGCATTTCTTGCGTCGACCCTCAGCAGGCTCACAGTGATGGCGGGGAGACGTTGTTAAATGTCGAATACAACGACAGCAATATGCTGCTGCGTTCCTTTCTAACACTTCAACGGGACCGTCCGCTTCCTCATCTTCGCCAGCGTTATCGCATAACTCAAGTAACGCACCAAGATCCTTGCCCAGTATTCGATATATGGCAGGCGTGACAGCGTGTCCGCCCGTCGTTCACAAAGCAAGGGTATACTGGAGGGTTTTGCAACCTTTCCAGACAACCCAAGCAAATGCTCTCGATGGCATTCAGCATATCACCCTCCACAGGTTCTGAACCGGCAACGGAAGCAGCTGGTTCTGACATTCTATTACGACATTAATCAGTATCAAGGACCTTTTAAGAAGAGAGAAGAGGCAAGAAGCAGCAAGAAAAGAACAGATGTTGGTGGATAAAACCAATATTGCAATATCGATCAAAGAAGTTGCAGCAACACAAAATCCGACCTAAAATAGAAAACGCAACCACGCAACCAAAACTTCGAATGTCGCAATAAAAATCGCATGGGAAGATACAGTGTACTTTGCTTGATCAATTGGTGTATTCTTTTAAATAAACAAAATCGTTGTTAGTGATGATGGTGATGATCTCGTTAGGATACGATTTGTGGTGTAAAGGTTAAAGGAAAGGGGTTCAGGGGTTGTGCCTAAATCATGATTGGACCGCGATACACCGGAACTGGAACAACGTTTTCCCGTGTCAGCAACGCTTCCGGAATTAACCCGAACAA